ACGGGTTACGGGAAAATTCCTTCGGGGTGGAGATGGTCCTGAAAAGTTAGGCCGTCAGGGGGCCGCCACGTGGCGCAGGCCGCTGCGTAGTTGGTTTGGGCCTTCGGAATTCCGGGGTTCTTTGTGCGCTGCTGCGTCGGCAGTTTACGCAAAACGTGTTGGGCCAATAGGGGGCTATGGCCGGCCACGGGACGACACTGAGTTGATGATACGAGAGAAGGAGGCGGAAAGGAGGGAAACTGGTGGTGATCTCAACGAATCCCGGGTGGGTGAAGTAGTAGGTGTGGTCGGGGGAAGGGAAATCGGAGCACYGAGGGTCGCTAGTAGTGGCASAGTGGAATTCCYGYGGACATAGCCRATTCTCCGKGTGAYAAGGGTATCGCGTCCTTATGAGCTCGTTTATTATAGGGGTGAAATAGTCCGGGTCATAGGACGAGTCTGAGCCCCAAGATCRCGTCATGGTATCATTGCAGATGGGATAGYGCGGGTCGGGATATCGTCACYGCGCACGAGCAYGTGTAGGACAGGCCGACTTGGTGGCKCCTCAGYGTGCTCGTACRGGATGACGGTTCCRCCGATGATTCCTCTCGGGGTGAGCGASKCGACGCATGGGAATGCRTGTAAGGGCGCGACTCAGATCGCGTTTACACGTGTTCTCGTGCGGCGCTCGCGGGTCCGGACTTCGGATCGCCTAATTGCTTCGTAAGTTTCGGCTATGCAAGATGCGACCATACCACAACCTCATCGTGGGACAAGCAAAAACGAGAACGAAATCGATATCGGGGCTAGATTCTTATCCCATCTATCGCTGCATCCGGTGCAAGCAACGATTCGACACAAATAAAAAGCAAGGGCAGGGATTCTCCGCAAAAAGATAGGCAAGCAGGCATAACATTCATGCATCCATACATTCGACAATCATACACATAATGTCGTCGCAAGGACAGGTATGAGCAAAAACCCAAGTCCAGATTCCAGAGAGCCGAAATGAAGATAAGAACGGGCAAACCCGGAGCCGCAATCAAAATGTATATACACAGATGAAGAGGGAGAAAAGACAAAGAAACAGCAAATCCACGTCCATCAACCTCAACTCTCTTCTCCTCTCTCTCTCTCTCTCCGATGCGGACAGTCCGTCGTCACGCACCAACCCATGAAGTTGTCACCCCGCTTAGTCCTCCCGCACCCGTCGGATTCGCCCGTGCCCACAGTCCGTCGTGGCCCACGTCAATCCTGCGCGTTTGGCACCAGCCCGTCGGGTCGCCCAACTCCAACTCTACTCACCTCTTACTTTGCTCGTGTGCCAACCCTTCCTGATCGCGCAACCCCGAGCTTCTAACAACGGGTTAAGAGAGCTGACTAATCGCGCAACCGAAATTTGTAGCATGCATGCATGCACGAAGAACACGGAATTACTAGGACTTAGAGTGAGGATTAGGGAGGAAACGCCTGCGTTCTGCATGATCGGCCGCGGCGTGGGGGACGTAACCCTTCTCCACGCATCGATCCGAGCATGCAGGCCGCGACTTACAAAATTTCAGCAAAAGAAAGAGAGGGAGGGCGGGAGAGACGAAGTGCAAGAAGAGAGGTACACTTACAATGGCGCCCGCCCAAAATTACAGTTACGCATGCGATTAAGGGCGCCGACTAATAAGAGTACCGTTGCAGCTGCATGAAGAAGCGCGTAAACAAAAGGTGCCGCGCGACAGAAAAAGTCCTAATTACTGAATTCCTAAATTCCTATCTACTGCGAAAAAGCAAAAAGCACAAATTTCAGAAGGAAAGTCCAAAATTCCGAGAGCCATTGGGGGCTCGACAAAATTCGAAAAAAAAGATTCAAAAGGAAAT